GCCGCGCACCCCCGCCCCGCGGGACCCGGACGCCGCGCTGCGCACCGGGCCTCCTCGCGGCTCGCACTTGTCCCTCCTTGTTTGAGTCATGGAGCAACCATTTGCCTGTGGGTATTCAAAGCTGAACCTTGATTCGCCTTCCCGACCTGTGCTGCCCTGAGATCCTTAATTCTGACTTAACTGCGCTGGGAAAAGAAGTTGAAGAACACTTGAGATAAGACCTGTCCGCGGCAAAGCGTGTTTTAGCCTGCGTCGCGGTGGATTAGATGGATGGGTTTGTACTGCTGGCGTTCTGTTGAGTAAGTGTGAGGTTGGTCCCTTCATCTGCAGACTCTGTAGGCCACTTGGAGCTCAAACTCTGTTCTTGTACAGTGTTTTGATGTGTATCAGGGAGTGATGCTGCGGAGGGTTAATAACGTGCTGCATGTTCCAGCAGGACCGTGGCTCACATGGCAGCGTGTCATGGTGTAAAACAGTGTCTTTGAAATAGTGCAGTAAAGAAACACCTTCCTCCGTAGAAACGCCAGACACGTCGATTGAGCTTCACTTTCGCTTTGACATTTGTCACTTAGCCTCCTCCTGCGTGGTGTAAAGTTGTCTGAATAGCAGAAAAGCAGGAGGTGCAGGGTGTGTAGCAACTTGAAACTCGAAAGTGGCAGAAGTCTGATTTTCTTCCTTTTTAAAGTTTAGGATTGTCCTGGTTCCATTTTATCGGGCTAACATAAATGTGATGCTTTTTTTCTAAGAGATAATGCTTTCATTTGATATGGACTGTCTGGGCTGTAAGACTGAACCTTAGAATGCGATGAGTGCACTTATTTCTGTTTCATAGATGATTTAGCACTATTTGTAGGATTTATTTCCAACATTACAAGCTTACTAGATACAGTTCCACCGGCATTAAAGGCGTATTAAAAAGTGATGATTCTATAGTGTCTTAGTCTTACAACAGTTCCACCAGCAAGGAGTATTAAAAAGTGATGATTATATAGTGTCTTAGTCTTACAATAACTCAAATTTTGAAAATGATACTAGTGATCTTTAGTTTATAGGGTCAGCTTCGCTCTTTCTCCCAGTTTAAACCTACACGCATCTGATTACTTATAATGACGCTGTTGTGGCTTTGCTTGGTCCACCAGCCTTTTGTTCGTTTCTTGTTTCAGGTATCTGTGCATTATTTTCATATCTAGAGAGTGAGCTGCACTTGTTTCCTTTTGTGCTGTGTAGTTGAACTCTGTAAGTGGGAAGAAGTGTTTGTTCTTTCTGTACCACGCAGCACGGTAGCCTTAGCCCACCTACAACCTGAGCTTTTTGAGCGTTTGAGCTAGAGTTAGAGCAATGGAAGACTATCTTTTAAATTTAGTTTAGATAGCCACGTGTGGCTAGTGGCTACGTGGTTGGACATCATAGCTTTTAGTCATTAGTGCCCCAGGAATCCTATATTGTTTGGTGTCTGCTCTCAGGGTCACAGTACTCATTGCTGTTACGTGGTAGTGGTGACTTTCTTAGAGAACTGCAGCACTAGGTGTGAGCCACATGAGGGCAAGGGCATATCTGTTTTCTTTACCCTGTATGCCCAGTTTAGGACTTAGTACGAAACATTCAATAAATGTTAGTTGAATGCATACCTGAACTGGAGCATAGGTATCTTACCTTTGATATTCTCTCTAGGGCCTAGAGCTATGTGTCCAGTGCTGTCAATACCTGTTTAGTGATTGGACACGTTTGTTGGTAGCAGATGAAAAGGTCTTTAGAGTTATGCTTTTTGCGTGCTTACTTGCTCCGCTTTGTTTTTGAATCTTGTGAAATACTCATATACTTTCAATACCTCTGTAATGAGTGAGCAGATGTTTTGTAGGTAGCAAATAAAAGAGTCATTGGAGTTGTGCCTTTTACATGCTTATTTCATTAGTTTTGTTTTGGAATCTCGTGAAAACAAAGATTCATGATAAATCACTATGGGAAATTGAGTGAAAGTGCCTCATGCTTCCAATGAATGTGAGTACGTGGGCACAGCTTGGGTTTCAAGGATGCTGTTCTTACTGTTCTTGAGCCATATCCCACATAAATCTGAAGGCGTCTCCTGGCCTGGGTGAGGCTCTTTCTTGGGGCTCTACTACCCCAGAACCACACTGATGAAGTTGGTGGGTCCTTCTTACCATTTCTGTGTTATGGCAGAACCAGGAATCCTTGAAAATCATGAGAGTTTAGAGCCTTGTTACCACATGCTTTAGCTCAGAGTTTACTTGGGTTGAGGGAATAAGACAGAATTTCTATATAATTGAAAGTTTGGGGAATTTGCTTCTAGTTATTATAACTATCTGTACACAGTCAATTAGGACTGACTTTTTACCTTAGGATTACATTGTTTAATCAGTTTTCACCAGTTAACTATAGGAGGATTTGGAATAAAAGTGTATGTTTAACCAGGATCAGTATACCTCTACCGAGATTCCAGGTGTTACAGGTCTTCAGATAGAGAAGTTCTTTTAGGGGAGCACTGTGAGACTGTATAAAAGTTTATAACTGTATAGTTTTCTTTGTGAATGAAAGGTAGAGTGTTGGGATTTTTTTCATGAAGGAAAAGGAATAGGACTAAGGAAAAATGCCACAAAGATGCAAAATACAAAGAATGTTCACTGCATTGGTCTGATAATACTGGAATTTCTTTGGATTGAAGTATGTAAAACAATGAAGTTGGTTACATCTCTAGGTGAATTATCTTTCCACCTTGGATCTAGGATTTGAATATTTGTTGAATATATGTAAGACACATATTAGTTTTGCTTGTGTGGTAACTGGTAGTTCTGTCAGACGTAGTTCTTCGTATCTTTAAGGATTTCAGCAGTCTACAAGAAAATCACACTTAAAAAAATATGTTTGAATGGGACATTTCATCCTTTGAAAGGGAAGTCATTTGGTGGCTCTTCTTAACTGATTTAGAAAGATAACCACTTTCCTAAAGAATTAAGAGCATTAAAAATATTTCTGAGTTCCAAAGTGTGATTATAGTTAATCTCCCTGAAATACAACTTTAAGTATTTTACTCCCATTTAAAACATCAGTAGCTCCCGAGTGCTCATGGAATTGGGTGATTTGATCTTTGGTCAAATATTTAAGAACTCCTCAGGTGGCCCCTGAATTCTGGTTCATTCTTATCTCTTACTGCTTTTCCAGTCATATTCCGAGTTTCAAATTGGTGTCCTTTTCATATGCTCCTCTTTTTACCTTCTTCCTAGTATATTTATTTATTTTTTGAAAGTTATTGGTGGTCATACCTTTTTCAGTGTCATACCTTTTTCATTTCTGATTTTTGGAAGCTCCTATAGCAAATTTTGTGGTACTCCTGTGATTGAATACAGTCTCTTATGTTCATAATCTATACTTTCAGTCATTTTTTAGTACATTATAAACCAACTAACATTATCAATTAGCTAACATGGGCCATCTGTTACTCAGTTTTGTAATCTGTTACTCATTCTTGTAAGGTCTGAAACAACTAGTATTTTGTACATACTGAATCCTTAATAGATACTTAGTAAATTTTCTGTTCCTTTCTTTTAAAGAAAGCCTCATACCCTGTGTAGAATATTGCTAAAATTTACTGTCAGGAAGTAAGGGCCAGCAAGTAGGAATCCTGAGTTAGAGAGAGGCTATACTGTGAAGGAGGGCTATCTTCGTGGTGTGCCATCCTGGTGATAGTGTTTGGGAAGATCACCACTCCTGTCTTACCACGAGTTGCTTGACCTTGTCATTTTCCTATTTATGTGGCAAGGTGAATGTTAAAATGATTCAGAATATTGGGGGCAAGTAATTTTAGTATCCAAGAAAATTTGAAAACATGTAAAGTAGTAACAAGTGCAGTAGGTTATTTAATATATGCCTGTCCATATAAATGCATGCTCCTTGAGGAAAAAGAAAGAATCTTACTCTGACCAGTTGTTGCTAGTATGTTTTGCAAAAATATGAGTCAAATTGGAAAGAAACAGTTAACTCAGAGAAGCGACCATTTCCTTGGAGGAAAGGTGGGATGGTAAAGGTGACTATTAGTATAGGATTGGTTAACTTGATTGAACACATATTGAGGAATAGCTAGCATAATCTGCTACTAGATTAAGCTATCATTAGCTATCTTAATTTTTTTCTATTCGTCTTGCTGAAAATAATTAAAATAATTTAATTTTGTTTTGTAATATGATTTTCTGCTTATATTTAAAAACAGATATAAAGATTCATAATGTTTCATACTTGAGAGATCTGATTCTAAAGAAACTGAAGTTTTTAGTTTCTTAAGTTTAGTTTAACTTAGAATTTTCTCTGTTTTTCATGTTATTTCTGAGATGTAGATTAGGGGACAGCACAAACTGAAAAGAAAAAATTTAAGCCCTCCGCTTTTTTGGGATAAAGAGGTAGTATGAATAGTAGAGTTCAAGAGGTATATAGCCTTCCACCCTCTGTTAGGATAGAATAAACAGACCCTGGGACATTGTTAAGTGGGGGAATCTCCGTAAGCTCTTATACTTGTAAAAGTGATATAATTAATTTTCAGTAAAATTTTATGGGATATCAGAAAATAATGGAAACATTCTAAAGTAGATTATTTTCATGTGGTGAGCACATGGCACAAGCTACTGGATGAGAAATGATCTGATCTGTCAGCATTCTGGGAAGTTAGATCCGTCTACAGGGCTAATAGGCCCTTATTTGTTACTGTAAGAGGTGTCACTTGTCTAGATTAGCTTAGCATTGTATACATTTATACATATTATGGTTTAGTGCTCCAAAGTTTTGTCTAGAGAGATTAATTATGTTGTTGACTGTATAAGAAACAATATGAAACAGTGCATCTTTCTTAAACAAGAGTTTGACTGGAGGAATTTTTTTTCACTATCATGAGAGTCTTGAAGGTTATGTTGAAAATGTCAGTAGGTTAGACATTAAAAGAACTTTAGGATTTTTGTAGTTGAAGGTAATCATAATAGGTTGCACACATAGAAAATAGAAATGCTTTTTCACTTTCTTTTTTATTGTAGGTGGCTTTCTAGAAGATGACCATAGAGGACCTTCCAGATTTTCCATTAGAAGGAAATCCTTTGCTTGGAAGATACCCATTTTTATTTCCAGGTTCTGAAACACCAGTTATCTTTTCCATTTCTGCAGCACCAATGCCTTCAGACTGTGGTATGTTAAGTATCTGTTTGTTTTCTGTGAATTGATAACTTGACCTATGTCTTATGCCCTTTTTAGTTTACACTGATGTTTTCTGAAAACATTTGGTATGGGTTTTATAAAGTTGCTAAAGTGTTCCTTTTCAAAAATACAATTACTTATTGCATTTTCTGCCTCTTAGATTAATGGTAAGCATTTTTATTATGCAAATATGTTAATTTTAAGTACCGTGATGGATTTAGAGGATTTTATTTTTAGAATGTACTGGTTTTTAGATAGCTAACATTCTTCTGCTATTGATGTATTTATTTTGATTAAATTGCTGACTTGTTTAAAAAGCCATGTATTTAGGCAGAGACAGTAAGAAACCTTTCCTTGGAATGTGGAATGAGATGGGTTCCTGTTTAAATTGGTCCATGTAATTCTCCTTTGTAAAGTGTAAATTTAGAAGCATTCTAGTTTTTGTCTATTTTAACTTATTTCTCTAGGAATGCATTTGATCAGATGATTGATAAATGTAAAAAAGAAAGCTAAGAGGTAAACTTGATAGAATTGGTACATTTGAAATTAGAATTTTTCAGGTAAAATGTTGGGTTGTTATTTCAAGTCATCTTTGGAGATAGGGATAATATAAATTAAAAATTTTAATAGATATAAAGTTATTAGATTGGGAGTTTGTCTTTTTATTCATACCCATTTTAATAATTAATTTAAATTTTGATTAATTTTAATTATTACTCATCTCCACATGTCCTGCATTTTCCCATTCAGATTTTATAGTTTAACTGTAGTAGTCATCAAAGTATTACCTAAATACTAAATACTATAGTATCTTAATCCTAGGAGTTATTTGCAATTTTACACAAGTCGACTGGGTTTATCTTCAGATATCATGAAGTCAGTTATCGGGGGGGGGCTGTATGTTGTTGCTTATAACACTTATTCTATCTTGGATTAGAATTGTCTTATTTCCTTTTGTAGATTGTAGGTGTTTAGAATGAGTAGGAGTCATGTTTTATTTTTACTTATCTCATAAAGACTAATACATTTGTTGAGATTAGTTGCTCAATGTTTCTTGGAGAAATATGTTTAATAAAATGTGGTAATAGATATTGACTCCTTTGTATGGCCGAAATTAAACATTGCTTATGATCTGCGTGGACTAGTTCAGATTTCCCTATGCAGCTCCCAGTATAGAAACCCCATTGGCAGAATCTCTGACAGATGCCCTTTAGCCACTTGCATATCTTCAATAATGAGAAACTAATGAAACAATCAATTTCATTGTTGAAAAGCTTTAGTTATAATAGTTATTTTTTAATATGACTCAAAATATGTCTTTCCAATGTACCTTGGGACCACAATGTTAAGTGAAATAAATCTGACGCATAAGCTTAAATATTGCATGCTTTCTTTTATATGAAAAACTCGAAGTATGAATAAATTTAAGAGCAAGATAAACAATAGATAATAGGAAACAGAGAGATGGAGCTTTTGGAAAAAGGAAGTGGACCAAGAAATGGAGCGGTGGTAGAGGCAGGGAAGAGGAAGGGGTTGAAAAAAGAATTAAGATATATTATGTACATGAACTAACTCAATGTAATGATTATGTACTCCAAACATATACTAATAAAAGTCAAAAAATGTCTTCCTGAAACTTTAGCCAGCTGATACTAATTTGATATATGAAAAAAACCACTTCTTTATATGATAGCCTTTAAGTATTTGCACATAATTTCAATATTTTTCTTAGACTGTACTTCCTTCATTTATACATTTCTAGCTGCCTCATCAATCCTTTGTAAGGAATTCCAGACTCTTTCTAGCCTACTTGTTAGTAATCTGATACTAGCATCCTCCTAACCATGGAGTCTTAAGCCTGGGTCTAGGTGACCCATGCCTTTTCTACTGTAAATTTGTACTTTAGCATTATAGTAGCTGGCTGTGTGTCTCAGTACATTCCCCTGAAGGATACAGGAAGCAATCTTGTGTGTTTACTCATTTGATATGACAAACACCAAGGAGTATGCATATGTGCAAAAGTGTTAAAACAGCATTTGAACCTATCTCTACGCTCTGGCTAACTGGTTTTGGTATGTTTACCTGAGCATCACAGAGGGTCCAGTAGACACATACCACTCCAGGAGTTGTTAAAAAAAAGTTTTCTTTTAATTTTCTGGTAGAAGCAGCCCGATTCAGTATAATGACACATGAAAAACCAGATTTCAAGTTTTGGAGGAGGTCAAAAATGAATCATCAGATTACTCGTGCATAGATGATGAAGATGATCCATTATGGTAAAATGCATGCTTTGGAAACAGAAGAGTGGTATTGGTGGATGATGATGACGATGATAATGATGATGACAATGACGACGACAGCTTTGATGTTGGCCATGTGAGCCAGTTCCTGTGAAGGTGAAATGGAGCAAGAATTGACTGCTGCAGACACAGGGAATGCAGGTCTACTTGATTCAGATGATGAAGAAAACAGCAATGTGAGAACAAACTTGACTAATTGAAATGTCACAAAATGGCTATGCAACCAAATGGAGCCATCCAATGTTAGAACTATGTCTGAAAATACAGTGAAGATCTTGGCAGGGGTGAAACATATTGGACAGAATACTAGCACTGCCATTCAGTGTTGGAAAGTGTAACAGATGAAATGCTGCCAGATGCTGTGAAATACACAAAGCCTGAAATGCAAGTAATACATTCTGTAGGCACTGATAGGCAGATGTATTTATGATACCTCACTAGCTGAATTGAAAGCATTCATAGGTCTGTTGTACTTAGCACAAATTTCTCATGGTGATCGTAAGAATGTAAAAGACTTATGGAAAAACAGTGGGTCAAAATATGGCATAAAAATTTATGCCTTTGTACATGTGAAGGCTTACTATTCTTTCAATTTATACATTTATCCTGGAACTCAGCCATCAGGTCCATATTCATACAGTAATAAATTGAATGATGTCATGAACTGACATATTACTCCTATCTCTCAAACTAATCAGGATGTGATATTCAACATTTTTCCAATTGATGTTATTTACTAACAGAGCACACGTTGACCAGCATTGGAACTGTACATAGAAACAAAACAGAAACTCCAAACAAAATGTTGCAATTTCAAAGCAGAGAATTGTATAGGAAAATCTTTGAATTTCAGAAAGATATAACATTGGCCTCATAGATGGCAAGAAAAGCAAACTGGTACTGCTGATGTCAACATTTCACTATAATGGAAATATTGGTAGGGAAACTATGATCAATTGGAAGCCTGAGATGGCAACTTTCAACAACAAAACCAGAAGGGCGTAGATGTTGATGAGTTATGCAGCAACTATGATGTCACTTGAAATACAAAGTATTAGCTAATGGTTGTGTTTTACTTCACTCTAAACATGTGTAACATAAATAGTTTCATAGTTTACAAAGAAAGTAACAAGTGCAAGATATCATGGAGAAATTTTCTTCCAGGATTGGTACTGGAGAACATAAGAGCTAATTTGTAGCAGAGGGAAAACAAAATGTTTCTGTCCAGGGGACTATGCCAAAAGATTGTGGCTCATACTGGTGAGCTAATGGGTAAACTGGCAGGTGCAGTATCAAAAAGACCTGCTATGACAATAGGAAAACAAGATGTCAACTGTGTCGTACAAGGAAAGACAGGAAAAGAAAACGTATATGCTATCATTATAAGTGATACTTGTGTATGAAGCATGCATTTGTCATGTGTGAAGACTGCCTTGGATGTGACAGCTGAAGCAAAGCTTATTTTCATGGTAGAGTTCCATTGGCATTTTCACTGTAGTTCATACAGGAATTTATTTCTGATGTTATCTTTTAGGTTTTGTAAGCAAGCAAACAGCTGATGTGAAAATGTTGATGTTTGTTCTAAATGTACAATACATATTAAGAATTTGTTTTATTGCTATTTTATGTTCCTGTTAACTACACACTGTACAATATAATAAGAACCTCCTGACAAAACAGCAAGACCACTGAGATGTGAAGTATGTCCCTACGAAAAGGCCAGAAAGGCAAAAGATGTGTGTTGTCAGTGTAAGTGATGTGTATGTATGGAAGGTACTGTTGTCATGTGTGCAGACTGCATTTTGTGTGATAATTGAAGTAAAGATTTTTTTGTAGAGTGCTATTGGTATTTTTATTGTAGTTCACATGGGAATTTATTTCTGAATGTTCATTTTTTGACTTTTTACACCAGAAAGCAGTTGATGTTGAAAATTTTGATTTTTTTAAAAATAAATGTTCAGTAAATGTTAAAAACTCAATACTTTATTTTTGCAGTTTTTTCTGATAAGTACTCATAGTTTAATATACTAGAATGCATAAAATTAAAATTAATAATTCATCAATAGAAATATTCCAAAGAATGTATGTGCATCTGAAAAACCCATGTTTATGCACCTTGATGACAGAATTAGTCTTATGCTCCAATGTGTAATGTAGAAATACATTTATTTAGCAAGCATTTATCAAGGGCCTCTTATGTGCTGAGTTTATTACTGTGTACTGGGGAATGCCACAATCAGCAAGACAGAGAGACTTCTGGGAAGGTGGCAGAGTGGTGAGCAGTAGAGAAAAATCCTCTCTGGGATTTGGTATCTGTATGCTGGAATGTAGCAATTTGAGGAAGAGAAGAAGGAGAGAAGTGGGTCCCCTGGACCAAGGAAGTATCTGAAGCAAGGACTGAAGCTCATGGGAAGACAGAAGAGAGATTTCAATGAAGAAGGAGGAGGTAGCAGGTGGACATTTCTCCCTGAGCCTGGACTCACTGTGTGGGAAGGGTGGCTTGAACCTGTAGACTCTTGGTGACTAATGATGACCTCAGAGGCCTCCTTGGAGAAACACACAAGTGGAATGGAGCAGTGGACACAGCAGACTGCAGTGGCTGGTGAGTTATTTGGGTTCAGACATCACCCAGGAGAAGGTGATTGGCTGGTAACCATCTTGGAGAGGGGCCAACTGAGCTCAGAACTCAGA